AATCTATTAAATGTTTTAATAACCTTAATTCTCATAATTTTATTTTTTAAGTCCATTGGCACGGCTTATCTCTAACTAGCAATAACCAATATGACGGAGTTCCGGGATTAACACAGTGTCCGATCCCCAACGATGGCAGTTTTCTCTATCATTTTACTGTTACTCAATTTGGTAAGTTTTTTTTTAAATATTATAATTAATTATAATTTAAAATTTTTTGATTAACAGAATTGTAATATTTTATCAAGGCACTTATTGGTACCATTCACACTCCGGGGGTCAATTTGTTGATGGTCTCAAAGGCCCATTAATTATTAATAATCCTAATGACCCCTATCTTACACAATACGATTTCGAATACGTGATAACACTATCAGAATGGTATAACCTTCCAACAAATGTTCTGGATCCAATTCTTCTTTCTCCTAGTTATGGAGGTGGTGAACCTAACCCTATTTCTGGAGACATTAGCGGCAAAGGTCAATATAATTGTACTTTAGCCCCTAACAATACATGTAACCCGAATAATGGAGTCGCCAAATATGTTGTTCAAAGTGGTAAAAGATATAGATTTAGAATTATTAATATGAGCGGGGCAGCTCATTATATATTTTCGATTGATGAACATCCGCTTACTCTTATTGAAGTTGATGGAAATTTAATAAACAATGTCACTCTAAATACGATTCCAATTAATACTGCACAGCGATATTCAGTAATTCTTAATGCTAATATGCCAGTTAAAAATTATTATATTCGTGCAAAACTTTCGACTTGCACAGCGATAAATCAATCTCTAAGTTCTGACTATCCATTAGATCCTAATGTTTTGGGAGTTTTAAGATATGAAGGCGCAAATGACACAATTCCAGATTCAATAGCTTATCCGCTCAATCAATCAGATGAATGTAGTGATGTGAATCCAAATATTTTAAAGCCACTTGAATTTAAACCGCCTAATAATGCTACTCATGAGATTGATTTTAATATTACTTTTGGCAATTTACCAACGACTGGAGGAATGGCTTTTATTAATAACTCAAGCTTTGTAAGTTTTTTTTTTTTTAGATATATCGTTATTATATAACAGTATAACTTCTTTTTTAGGTGTCTAATGCTGGTTATCCTACAAATCGAAAAATTATGGATTTACAAGGTGACAACTTTTTGAAAGAGCAAAATGCTTATGCATATGAATGCAGCACTGAGAATTGTGTAGGTGATGCTGTTGATATCTATATTAGTGTTAACACTCCTCAGTCTCATCCTTTTCATATGGTAAGTATAATTATTTATAATATCGTTATTTTTTTTTCAAAGCAAATTTCTAAAAAAAAAAAAAAATAGCATGGACACAGTTTTTTCGTTATATATAATGGACAAAATGCTTCTGGCGTTGGACCTCCAGATCCATCTAATTTTAATTTAATTGATCCTGTTTATCGCGATACAGTAACTGTTCAAGGAAATAGGTACGTAATTATTTTTTAAATAAATACAGTACTTATTAATTTATAGAACAGTTACAAAACTAATGACCGTTTCATTATTGCAGTGTTACTGTGATTCGTTACCCTATAGACAATCCTGGCGTATGGTTTATGCATTGTCATACACATTGG